TTTGAGGGCCCTTATTCCGGCCTCTGCCTGCAGAGCTGGCTGGTATCTTTGGACCAAATGAGTCTCCAGTCTGGTGGGAGCCCCCATGATGAGAGGGAAGATAAAGGGGGTGACATAGCTGTGCCTTGGGAGAGACACAGTCCTCTCTGGAGAATACCCCACCCCTACCCCATGTCTGCCCCTGGCACTATGTCTAGATGTATCGGGTGGGGCCGAGGTTGCAGGGACTTTCCCCAACACGCACTGCTGGGGCAGGTGAACAACCCCTTCCCTGTTCCTCCTCACCCCCCATGCCCCCTCCTCTCTCCGTAAGCGGCTTATGCAAGCCCAGCTCCCTTAAGCAGCTTAGCCAAAGCTCTGCTGACTCAAGCCCAGAGCTTGGGATACTGGGGGGATGTCAGCCAACTTTGCTCCCATCCTTTGTTGATCTCCAAATGGGAGGAAGTCGTAGCAAACAGAGGGGTCCCCCTTAGAGGTTATCTATCCATCTATCCAGCCTTGGCTCTGAGCCACCCCCCACAGAGAAAGTACTCCCCAACTCCCACAGAAAAGAGCACAGGCTAGGGCAGGAAGAGGGTGTAGCAGGTGTAGCAGAGGGTGTGGATGAGGGAAAGGGGAGTCCTCAGGCCCAGAAGGGGAACCAAGAACTGTGGGAGGCCCTGTCTGAGGGAGGCTCAGGAACCTACAGGGCCAGATCTAACCCTTGCTGCTCTTGCAGCAACTGCAAGCGCTCAGGAAGGCCCTGGCAACAAATGGGAAGGAGCAGAGAAGTATCAGCCTGCACAGCATCACATCCTCCCTGGTGGCCCATAGAGGCCTGGAAATCACCCTCCAGGTCACTGGGCCACATCCTATTCCTCTGGGGCAGGAAGAGGAAGTTAATATAAAGCCATTCTCTCTTCCCCAAGCCTGCGTCTTCCCCCAGCCTGGGGCAGCCCCCTCCAGGAAGCCCTCCTGGCAGCCAAATGGCACCTTGAGGCCCAGCAGGGAATACATACGGCTTGGGGAAGAGGCAGGGCCCTGAGCCTTGACTTGTCTACCATGACCCACGGGGGAAAAAAGATGAGAATGGAAGTGGGCAGCCCCTGCCTCAACCTGTACACCTGTTTTCACAGAAGCAAGCACTTGTACAAAGCTATAGAAAGAAGGCGCAGAGCACGGAGAGAGGTGGCAGAGTTGGGAGCAGGGTCCCAGTTGCCCAACTCCCAGCTCCCTGTAAGGCCCTCTCTTTTTACCCCATTCTCCAACTTTTGGAGCCTCTCCTCTCATTTGGGAACAACTTCCTGCAATGTGACCTCAGTCTCTTCTACTGCAAACTCAATCTATCCGTCTCTCTGTCCTTAGAGCTGAGCAACAAGGGATGCCTATGGCTCAGAGCACCACGGCCCTCCCTCCCTTCTGGCAAGGATGAGGCCTGGACCCTAGGGTCAGGCCAGAACACGGGGCAGAGTGGCCAAGGGCTCAGAACACACCCACTCTATTCCCCTCCGCCACAAATAGCTTCCTAAGCTGGATTCAGGGCCCAGTAATCCAGGAACAGCAAACCTCAGACCTGTGTGATTGGGGTCAGAAGAGACCAGGCAGGGGTGTGGAACCCTGTTCTCAGCTCCTGCACAGGAAGGGGCTCTCGTGAAGCCCCTCCCCCTTCTCATTCCCCACAGATGCCCCATCTCTACTAAGGGCTATGAATTCCCTCCACATTAGGAGACACATGGTGGTACACGAGCTGGAAGCCACCTCTAGGTATAAAATAAACCCCCAAAGTTACCCAGGACCCAGTCAGTCTGACCTCTGCACTTCCTCTGAGGAAGTTCTGCCACAAAGCTAAGCTGAATCCTAAATGCTGCTCTTGCAAACTGCAGCCCAACTGGCCCCAACATCAGTCTGGTCCAGGCCCCCTCCCTCCACTGATGCTGAACACCAAAGGAGTTCAGCACTCTGGGGGCCCAGCCAAGAATGGCTGTTGCCTAGCTCAGAGAGGAGGAAGCAGTTGGGCCCCCAGGGACACAGGTGCACAGGCTCGAGCCTGCCATCATGGGCCCCTCTACAGCTCTGTCTGGGAGCCCTGGGCTCTGCTGCGCTTGCAGCTCCAGGGCTCAGGTCCACTCCAATGCCTGTTCCCCCATCCCCACAGAGAGGGCTCCCAAGAGTTGCTCTCTCGAAGGGAGCTGAGGTTGGTTGCTGAGTCCAAGGTGGAGGAGGGCCACTGTCTCTCCAGATACCTTCTGTTCTTCAAGGCTCATGTGAGGCTTCCTAGCCCTTGTTCCCTGCCTATGATGACCTCCTCCCCTGCCCCGAATGCCCAGGCAGCAGCCATGAGCAGCCCTGTGGGGTCTGAAATCCTACTGATAAAAGAGCCCTACGTACAGAGCACGCACAGCATGCCGGGCACTGCACAAAATCAGAAGACTTATTTTCACAACAACCTTATGAAGTAGGTGTCATTATTTCCATTTTACAAATGAAGAAACATGCTCAGAGAGGTGAGGTTACTTGCCCAAGGTCACACAGCCAATTATATGGCAAAGCTGTGACTCCAACCCAGGCAGTCGAGCTTAGAAACTTAACCACAGTGGAGACCAGTCCTCCCTTGGTAAGAGAGCCCCCAGAAGAGAACAAGCCATAGTTCAGGCTTACAAGGGTATTAAACCACTCCCACCACAGGACCCACAGCCAGCACACTGAAGCTTCCTGTTCAGTTCTTTTCTTGAGAAGGAAAATGGCCCCAAGTATTCCTGGGGCATCAGGGTGAAGGTTTTAACGCTTAGGGAGACTTGGAGAGTCTTAAACCCTCCTAAGTAACTCAGCCTCCACCTAGCCTCCAGCGTAGGGGGAAGGGCAGACTGCCCTCAGCCCCCTCCTCATTAGTGCAGAGATGGGGCCTCGAGGGCTCTGAAGACTCCAGGGGGAAAGGGTTACAGTTGCAGCTGCTGCCCCACCTCCGCCATGGGAAAAGGGGATAGACCCCTCAAAAAGGAAGGAGTGGGATGGAAATAAATCTCTAAAGGGAGAGGAGAGGTGCACAGGGAGATCAAGAGAAGGGAGGACATACAGATCTCAGGTTTGGAGGCAAAGGGAGAGTAGGGGACAGAGGCGAGGGGGACCCGGGTGGGGGAGGGGAGGCGGGAAAGGGGGCGGGGGCCGGGGCTCGGCGCGCGGTGAGGGCCCCCTCGCGGCTTCTCCCTCCGGCCCGCGGGCGGCGCTCCCTCGCCGGTGCTCACCACCCGTGATCCGCTGCAGCCCCAGCACGTCCTCTGGCCCGATCGGCTGCTTCCTCTGCAGCGGCCCCGACCTGGGCCCCGGGCCTGCCTCGGGCTCCGACTCGGACCCGGATTCGGATTCCGCCTGCGGCTCCGGTGTGGGCTCCAGGCTCGGGCCCGAGGCCCCAAGAGCGGGCTCCTCCCCCGTCCCGGCCCCGCCGCCGCCCTTCTTCACCTTCATGGCCTCGCAGGGCCGCGGCGCTTCTGCTGCCGCCGCCGCTGCCTGCGCCAGTTGGAGCCGGGGAAAGGGGGAGCGTCCGCAGCCCCGCCCCCCGCGGGCCAGGTACCGCCCCGGCGCCGGCCCCGCCCCCCCGCCCCCTCGCGCTGGGGGGCCGCGGATGCGGGAGCTCCCATTCATTTTTTCCGGATACGTTTTCAGTACTATAGGGGATCCCGACTACCTTTCCTGTTATTCGTTGTGTTCCAGCCTTTCTTTCTGCCCGCCTCAAGCGAGTTCCAGTCTCAGGGTCTTTTCCAGATGGCCTCTTCTCTCCCGGTTTCAGCTCAAATGTCACCTGCCCAAAGGCCCTCCCTCACACCCAGCCTAAAGTACTTCTTCCCCCCAAGTCACTATCTGGTCGGCCTGTTTTTTCTTTCTAATGCATTATGTGAAATTATTTTTATTTGTTCATTGACTCTTCCCCCTGAAAGATCAGCTCATTGAAAGCAGAGATCCTGTCCACTTTGTTCTCTATAATTCCCCAGATAGTGCTCAGGGAGCATTCTTTTTTTGATCTGATGAATAAGTTAGTATCTCAGGGCTTTCACTGGTACAAGCTATTCTCTCTTATAGAATCACTGCTAAAAGAAAAGAAGCAGATGCTAACAGCCTTGGGCAACCCAGGACATTCCCAGGGACAATAGCCCAGGTGTCTAGCCACCCCAGGGTCCTACAGGACAGAGAGGTAGGAAGGGCACATGGCCACCTGGGAGCAAGGGGGACCTGTGAACACAGGAGGACAGATACCAGGAAACCATTACTTACACATGAATGAACAAAGAATGAGTTATGCTCATACTTCATATTCAACCAGTGTTTATTAACAGCTTAATATATGCCAGACACTTTCACATGCTTATTACATTTAATCCTCACAACCACCCTGTAAGGGAGGTATCATCAGTGCCATTTGAACAAATGAAAAACCAAGGCTCAGAGATTAAGCGACTTATCCCAAACTCCCCAAACAATAAGCGCAAAATCAAGGATTTGAATTCAGGACTGCTTGATTCCAAATATGGAGTTTCTAGAACCTCTGCCACACACACAACACCAGGACCTAAGGTGCTGCCTCCTGGAGTGCTGGCAGGCTGTACCCAACAGGCAAAGCCAGCCTTGAGGGAGGGAAGTGAGGGAGAAGGTCCCAGAGGTGACCTATGCCTGGTTCCTTTATCACAGCAGTGCTGGGGCTCTCCCTCGAAGATTAGAGAAGCCTGGGCCAGGCACAGGGCTCACGCCTGTAATCCCAACACTTTGGGAGGCCAAGGCAGGAGGATCACTTGAAGTGAGGAGTTCAAAACTAGCTTGGGCAACATAGCGAGAAACCACCTCTACAAAAAAGTTTTTAAAAAGTTAGCTAGGTGTGGTGACACACTCCTATAGTCCCAGCTACGCAGGAGGCTGAGGCAGGAGGATCACTTGAACCAGGGGTTCGAGTTGCAGTGAGCTATGATCACACCACTACACTCCTGCCTGGGCAGCAGAGTGAGACCCCCCCTGTCTCTTACAATAAAAAAATTTTAAAATTTAAAAAAAAAAATAGAGAAGCATGGAGGGGAGGAGGCTGCAATCCAACCTAGGGCTTTCCCCTAATGCTCCCTCTCAGTGCAAGAGTGTCCTATGATAAGAAATGGGGAAAAGCACAAGCTGCCCCTGCCCCAGAGGTAGATGGGCAGGGGCCCTCAAGTTCAAGCCCAACATGGAGACCCAGAGGACATGCCTTTTGAGGCTTCTGGGGGTTGGGGGGGCAGGACCTGAGCCAGGGGAAGGGGAAGGGAAAGAAAGATGAATCCATCTTGAAGTGTTGTACTTTGGCTGCTGGAGAGCTGACAGAGGAGACTGGAGACAAGTTGGTCATTCCCAGCAGGCCCCATGGATGTGCCTCTCAATCTAACACCTCCCACCCTGGCAGAAAAGGAAGGCTTCCTGTTGAGATGCTGCCCTGATCAATCTACCTTCTCAGGCTTTTTCCAGGACTTTCGGGTCTCCAGGAAGATCTTGACCAGGGACAGGAGGATGGGCACAGCCATAGGCAGGAAAAGCGGGATGTAGATGGCAAACTTCTGGTCATCAGGAAAATAGAGGAGGTGGAGGAGTGATGGGTCAAAAAAGGCACGCTCAGAGGATGTCACGGCTTCCTGGCTGGCAACAAAGGCAGATGCCAGGTGCCCAGAGGCCAACTCCTCCGCTGCCTTCTGGACTGCAGCTACAGCCCTGTACACCTGGGAAGGGAAGGGAATAGGGGTTACCAATAAGTTGTATGCATTGGTGGGAGGGGCGCAGGGCCTTACTCTGCCTTCCATCTACCAGGGAGGTTGCCTTCAGGATATCTGGAGTTCAGTCTAAAAGGACTATGGTTTGTTTTCTTAGGGTTGGCTTGAAACTCTCATCTGGACTCCTGCTGGGGAGCTGGCACTGCTGTTTAGAAGAAGCCTGGCGCACTTAAGGAGGGCGGGCCCACATACACTCTGACCTCACCTGCTCTCTGGTCTCACCACAGCCTGGCCACTCCAATCCTAGGCTACAGAATCCATCCCCTGCCCACTTACCTCAGATGCCACATCGTCCTTGATGACAATATTGCTGATCTTGCCCAGAAGCTGGGCCAGGGAGGTAAGGGTGGTGGTGGCCGTGGCCAGGTTCTCCACTGACCGAGCCCAGAGCAGCCGGTCTAGCTCCCAGGTCATTAGCCCTTCACTCTTAGGCCCTGAAAGCAAGCACTTCGGAGGCACGTGGGGCTGAGCAATCCCAAAGAGCAGCCTGTAGGGACAGTGAAGTTAAGATCAAGGTGGCTGAGACCAGAAGGTGGAGATGATGGCTAAGAGTCCTAGAATATTTGTCCTAAGCCAGTGGTTTTCAATCTCACCCAGAACCATAGGGGTGGTGGGGAAGTGCCTCAGGATCTTAGGGGGTGAATGGTAACATCAAACAATCCTTGCTTCAACCAGAATGTTTCTGTATTCACCTGTTTCTATACTAGACTTTCAGGCTCTTGTTAGAAAAAAGTTTCCATGGCTAAAATATTTCTGTAAAATCAACTTTGTTTAATCCCCTCACCCTCTCTACCCTCTCTTTGGACAAATGGGGCCAATGGGACTTAGTGTTAAGGGATGATCCAGGACCACCTTTGACGAGGCACATGTGCTGTGCTTCTCTAAGCCGGCACCCATGACAGACACTGCTAATCAATCAGAAGAATACTCTTCCCTGAGCCCAGACACAGCCTTAGAACCCTCAACATAGGGCTTCAGGCAGCCACTGTCAATCAATCAGACAAGAATCAACAGCTATTTTCTTATGCACCCCTAAATCATAGCCCACGGATCTGACATTCATGAGGCTATTTTTCTTAAAACAAGTTTTGTCAGCTACTAGTCCTTCTTAGGAAAAGGATGATGGGATCTTTGGAAAGCTTTCTTGATTTCCCTGAGGCTCTTGGCATAGCTAAAGTGTCCCTACCAGGTGAGATTTCATTCTGCTCTGCAACCCCCTCTACAGCCATGGAGACTATGGCCAGACTCTCGGTGGCCATGCCCCCAAGTGGATCACCCAGGACCTCACCGCAGCTGAGCCAGGAACACCTCCATCACTCGCACCATGTCCACCTCGACTCTCACTGGCAGCTCTGAGCCATTATAGGCTTTGGAGTCAACGTTATATATCTAAAAGGAGGAATGAGATTGCCACAGCATCATACCAAGACTGTGCATAGCTCGTGCATAGCTCTGCCCTAGGCAGTCTGGAGGCCATGAGAGAAAAGGAAGACATATTCTCTGCTCTTTAGAAGCTACAAACCCAATGGTATAGCTAGTAGTTTTCTGAGTACCTACTAGGAAGAGATTTAAATAAATTATCCCAATTACCCCCTCAAAAGTCCTTTAAAATAGATTTTTTTTAATCCCATTTTAGAGTTCTACCCATGAGAAACTCCCAGTTTAACAGGGGAGACAAGGTTCCCAACCTTGCAAGACTCCCACGAATAAGGCCAGGATCTAAGATGGACACAGAACAGTCTTAACCAAGTGCAAACTGGTTAATGTGAAAGGGTCATAGCACAGAAAACATTCACAGAAATAAGAATGAGTGGGGCTGGCAGAGGAGGGGCATGAACACACAGCACCCTCACCTCCCTGGTGCCTGACCCTCCCACAGGCTGGGCCATGGAGGACTCCAAAAGAAAAAGAGAAGGAACAGTTTCAGGCAACATCTGTCTGTCCCAGAAGCTTGGACTCTGGGGTCTGCACAGTGCGACTATTACCATAATGCCACCCCAGCGGGGACTGTGGAATGCATTGGTGGCCACCGGAGCCCCATCCTTGTCTTGGATGTACAGGGGGGAGTGGGCAAGCTCAGGCACGTAGAGTAGAAAGTTGAGCACAGGGTACAGCGAGGCAGCACTGGATCCTGTGGCATAAAGAGAACGGAAGGCAGAACGTGTTGGACCTAGACCTCAATTCCAGGTCAGCCTCGAACTTGCCGGCCACTCACTCTGAGCCTCAGATTCCCCAGCTGATAGTCACTAGGACATAATCCAGTCCTGGGTTTCTGGGGTAAAGGGCTTCTGAATGTTCTCCTGAGATGTGCTACACAGGTGGAACGTAGTCCTTAGCCCCAAAATGCCCCTAAAACCTGTCCCCCTCTAAAAGGCACCCCTTGACTAAGACAATTCTCTTAGTCATTGCCACAACGCATCCATATTGCTATAGACAGTTTTATGCACAAGTGTAAATCTAACCTCATGTTAATTCCCTGCTTACTATCCTTCAAAGACTAACCATTCATATCACCTTAAAATTCAAACTCTTTCACGCGGTCCTTTATGATCTGGCACCTGCCTGCCTTGCCAGCCTCATCTTTGGTCACTCACTCACATTTCAGCCACACTAAATTACTCTGAGCTCTCTGAATGTCTGTGCTCTCTTAATCTTTTGCATCTAAGCTCATAGTTCTCTTTGCCTAAACTGCCCTTCTATCTCTGTACTCAGAACTGCCACAAGGCAGTCCCTCAGCCAATGTTTGCTGAATGAATGAATGGAGGAAGAATTTGCTAAGGGCTCATGTGCCACGCTTCTCATTACACTTGGTCCACACTGGCCTACCTCTGGTGTCTGAAATTCCAGTTTGTGATATACTCGCTTTGGTTTGCCGGTTTTACAGTTCTTGGTCACACCTACTCTTCCTAGGATCCGTACCCAAAATGAAGAACTATAATCCTCACTTCAAGGTTCTTCAACCTCAATCAGCAGAACTATCAATTCAAAGTCTGCTTTCATGTACTTTTGCTGTTGTCTTTCCTACATGTGTGGTCATATCTTTCCTACATGGCTTTCAGGAAGAGAGACCCAGCCTAGCCATTTGTAAAAAGTGCAGGGAATCATGTTTAATAAATGCTTGTATGCTGGGCACAGAGGCTCATGCCTGCAATCCTAGCACTCTGGGAGGCCAAGGTGGGAGGACTGCTTTAGCTCAGGAGTTCGAGACAAGCCTGAGAAGAGCAAGACCCTGTCTCTACCAAAAATAGAAAAAATTAGCTGGGTGTGGTGGTGTGCACCTATAGTCCCAGCTACTCAGGAGGCTCAGGGAGGAGGATTTCTTGAGCCCAGGAGTTTGAGGTTGCAGTGAGCTAGGATGATGCCACTGTACTCTACCCAGGGTGACAGAGCAAGGCTTTGTCTCAAAAAATAAAATAAAAAAATAAAAAATAATGCTTGTGGATATAATGGGTGTAAAGATGGAGATGTCAACAGAGCATCAGGAAAAAGGAGCCTAAACCTCCCCAGTCCTCTCAGACCAACCCAGCCTGGGAACCATCACTATATACAACCCATCTCCAACCCCAGGCTGAGCCATCCCCTCCCTGGCCTGGCAGAAAGACCCTCAGCCTCAGGAGCTCACCCAGTCGGGACTCCACGGGGTTGATGACATGGGGGAGGCTGTGCATGTCCAAGTAGTAGCTGGAGGAAGCTGGGTCAAAGCGAGGGTTTACCCCCAACATTGCATAGTAAAGGATCTGCAAAGAGGGAGGAGGTTATTTTGTTTACTGATTTACAGTCTACTTTCTCACAAAAAAGATTTGAGGTGCCTTAAAAAGATACAGTCAGGGCTGAGAGAAAATACATGTAGGAGAAAAAAACAGTGAAGCCAAGGATAAAGTTAATACACTAAATGCATGCTTTGAAAACCACATATTTTACCAGGTTTCCTAACAGTCTAACCAAAGAGGGAAACAAAGAACAGCATGATTCAGTGTCTGCAAGAGCAAATCAGGCCAGTTATTCAGAAGCAATTACTCCCACTACTACAGCCTCATAAAAATTTCTCCCACAAGTTTTCCCTCCAAGGACATAGCATGAGACAGAGAGCTACATTCTTCACATCTTTATTGTTACTATATTAATATATTTCAGGAAGCTTTTTAAAAAAAATTAACTCCTTAAGGATGGCTGAAGGCATTAACATCTAGCCACAACAGGTGAGTACAGGTCTCAGCGGGAGCCACGAGGTAGGTGGTTTGTTAATAAGCACTGACAGAACTCCCTCAGCTGGACGCTAAGGAGGAAAAAGAAAGACAACAGAATCTGCCATTGACGGACAGATGGACACAGACACATACACACACACCAGTACCTGCCCTTATAACACTCATGTACATGCAAATACACAGGAAATTCCTATCAAATCAGCAAGCTCTAAGAGGTGGAAGAAAAGACTGCACCTGTAAACACTAAATCGTATGGTCTTTGAAAAGGACTCCTCAACTTGCTCCCAGTCTCACCTGAGAGTCCACAGAGAAGTTGCCAGCAACACTGAGGGCATTCAGGAAAGGCTGCACATAGCGCCGGACAGCCCCCTCGATGTCCCAGTGGACGTCATGGGATCTGGGGTCTGGGTTGAGTAAACTGAAGGTGATCTCATAGCCTATAGAAACAGTAGTTGGGGAAGTCAGCAGCCCCTGTGGATTAAGAAAGAGGGGCACCCTGTACCCCTAGCTGAGCTGAACTTGTTTCCCCTCTGGAATGGGACTGGTTGCCATCATGGAACCAAAGGGAGAGTAAAACTGGGATGGGAAACACCAAGTGCTTTAAGAAAAAGTTGACACCAGAGACAAAAGGAGTAAGGATTTTGCAAGCAGATTCCCCTCCTGCCCCACATAACTCATTTCCTCTCCCTTCCTATGGCAAGCCCGGTACCCTACCCAAGCTGGACTTGAGAGGCCGCCTCTTATCAGAGCTCCACTTGTCCTCTGGAAGGTGGTCGGCCAGAGCAGCGGCAAGCACATCCTCAGTCAAAGACATGGCCTGGGCTATTTGGACTATGCGGCGGCCAATGATGTTAAAGGCCTCCCGGTGCATTATGCCCCGAACAACTGCTGTCCTCTTGGGCCCAATGTAGCTCATCATGTCCTGTGGGAGTGAGCAAGGGACAGAATGCCCATGGCTCAGGGAAGAAAGCCAAAAAGCATTCTAGCTCCTGTCTTTGAGAATCTGTCCTCTTGCCACTGACCAACGGGCCGGCACCTCTCTTTAGATTCACAGTGAGCTATTAACTCAGCATTTCCGAGCTATGAGTATATATGAGAGTTTTCATTCGTTTCCATTTCCTTTTCTTTCCCAGTAGACATAGGTCCAGGCAGCATCTATATCTTCAGAGGCTGGTAAAATGATGAACTGGAAACTAAGAGATGGCTTGCTGATCAAGAAAAGCAGAATAGGCTGGGCGCGGTGGCTCACGCCTGTAATCCTAGCACTCTGGGAGGCCAGGGCGGGCAAATCATTTGAGCTCAGGAGTTCGAGACCAGCCTGAGCAAGAGCAAAACTCCATCTCTACTAAAAGAAATAGAAAGAAATTAGCTGGACAACTAAAAATATATAGAAAAAAATCAGCCAGGCATGGTGGCACATGCCTGTAGTCCCAGCTACTTGGGAGGCTGACGCAGGAGGATCACCTGAGCCCAGGAGTTTGAGGTTGCTGTGAGCTAGGCTGACGCCACGGCACTCTAGCCCAGGCAACAGAGTGAGACTCCGTCTCAAAAAAAAAAAAAAAAAAAAGAAGCAGAATAAACAAATTGGAAAGTTTGATATAAGAAAATGGCACATGGCAAAGAGGCAAGTACAAGAATGTTCACAACAGCATTATTTCTATTATAACAGTAAATAAACTAGAAACAATCCAAATGTCCATCAGCAACAGAAGGGATAAATTATATGTATGTTTATACAATGAAACACAGATTCAATTAAACATATTATCATGGATGATTCTCTCAAATGTAAATGTTGAATAAAATAAAAGAAGAACAGGTACAGGATTATATCATTTA